GAACAGATGAAAAATGTGTTTGCTTGATGATGTAATTAAAAATTTTTTGATTAATAAATCTAATTTACATAAATAATGTTTCCAAAAAACATGTAACTATGTACAACATGCATTATCGCACTATATATATATAAAAAAAAACTTTTATTTATTTAAATATTTATATTGGAAACTAATTAAATTTATATTTGTATTTCATCTGTATATATTGTAACAAATTAATACCTACTTTTCAGGAAAGTGCAAGTTTGTATTACACAACATTTACATTATAAATATATTAAATTTTGTTTAATGCATATAAATAAAATAAATAAACAAAATAAGTTGAATCATATAACAATTCGGATTTACTCTATTCCACTCCATTTTTATATATTTCTTCCAAAATAAATTTTGGTTTATTTTCAAATGCTAAAGAAATTAAATTAGATATTAATATTTTTTTCGTAAAGAATCAAACGACGGACTAAAGACAGAACAATGGGATTACTTCCAAACCTTTATTCGTACAGATCTGTCGGCGTACATTAGAAATGTGCAAGGTTTGTCATCGTTTTCGAAGAAAATAATGAAATTCGTTCTTAAGAGTATGCTCCAACGTGGACGATTCGAGCGAGAACGATTGGAGCGTCAGCGCGGGCAATTGCCTTTATACAAGTATGAATATTACACGCCACGACAATAGTTCACATACATTAAAAATGATGAGCTTTAATTACAGGATGGGCGATTGATAGACGTATCTATATACATACCGATATCAAAATATTTGCATCGACACGTATATATCTATGTATACCGATTAGGATGACGTGAGCGATGTGTACGGAGCAATTTAATCGGGCACGGTGAGGTGCCTTATTTTTAAAATTTTATATATATATATATACATATACGTATGTACATAATATGTAACAGATATAATGTACATGATATACATATATATACACACACACACATACACACCACACACACACACACACACACACACACACACACACACACACACACACACACACACACACACACACACTATTGTTTGTGACAATTCACGACGATTTCCATCGGCGTGAAAATTCGTCACCGGTGGAAACTCACGTCGCGCGGTTCTTACTTATCTTACTTTCTCGTGCCGAGAGTTAAAGTCGATCAGAAATCTCGCATCCTCAGCGGCGATTTCTCTAAACTTTGCATCGCGGGTCGTTAAACTCTTAACTGCTAATGATATATATATTTTTAGGGCGAGAAAATGATGATCGGCGAGACGTGAGACGAATGCGGGCTGCGACGGAGGCAAAAGAATAACAGTACGAAAGGAAAAATGAACGAGACTAAAAAGGGAAGGAGCAGAGGAAAAAGAGAAATAGAAAAATTCAGAAACGCGGGACATATACCACTAGAGGTGTCAACACACGATAATAACGTACGGGAGCAAAACCGTAACGAGAAAGTAGCCAGTACGCGCCTCGATAATTCCATCCGTTGCGTTTTTCCTCGAGCGCACGAGAGGATAAGTCCGCAAATACGACAAATCCAAGCCCAGCTTGCGATACCAGCGGAGCGATGTTACAGTACATTTCGAACAAGTTTCCCCCAAGTCGACTTTCGGAGGCGAAACGCGAAACAATCAGAGTACGGAGATTCTCTCCTGCGGAAAGACGAGGCTAATGCTCGCGATACTCGATCGTTCTACGGATATTAATTATCTTATCGCTACGAGAACTCTCGTCAGTCTTAGTCGAAAAAAAGCCGAGAGTCAAAGTAATCAAAGAAGCGATGAGAAAAAGAGTGTGTCTTTCTCTCTCTCTCTTCCTTTTTCTCTCCCTAAACAACAATCAGAACACCGCGAGATGGCTAATTCCACCTCTAATGTCACCACGAAGAACGGTCAACTGTGTATGAATATAAACGAAGAAAGAAAAAAGGAAACCACAACCACGAGCCTCGGCATTTCGAATCCTTCTCGCTCGAAGCCCGGTCCTCGAAAAAATTCGCGCTTCCGTCATACAATATACAGTGCATCACCAAATCAGTGACGCTTTTCAATGATAATAGTAATACTAACAATAGTAGCGATGATGATAATAGTAGTAGTAATAATAATAATAGTAATAATATATTATCGATAACATAATAATTTATTATCGTCCACAGCGACGACGCGTCTATCTGTGCGCTTTTTTCGCAAAAAAAAAATATATATATATAATGTGTATATATATATATATATATATATATATATATATAATAATATGTT